ACAACTATACAAGATGGGTATTTTCTCCATTTCTGCTTACAATGTAAGCCAGGAATAATCTGCAACTCACTGTACCTCCTCCAGCTCTCTGGTCAAATGTCATTTTCTCAGATGGCTTACCATGGCCATTCTGCTTAAAACTGCCACCCCTGTCCTCCCGTGCTTATTTTTCCTAGGTCTCTTTTCACCACCTAATATACTATATGCTTAATGATTTTGCTAATTGTCCATTTAACCTAACTAGAACATAAATTCAGTGCAGGCAGAGATTTTTGTCTCCCTCTTTTTCTAATGGATGCCTGGAACCCAGAACAGTGTTTAGTGCTTCCTCCTGGGGTTTACTAGGTTTTTGCTGAATGAATGAATGAATGAATGAATGAATTGCCTTCTAGACAGACTAGGTCCTGCTCCATGAATGATTCCCACTGTTCTGCAGAGCCCTTGTGCGTGTTTGGAAGTGAAGATGGTTGAAAGCCATCCTCAGAGGCTGACACTAGAGAGAAATGAACTGCTCCAGGTGTTCTGGAGAGAAGAATGTGGGTCCCTCGGCCAATTAAGGAGTAGAAGGGAGGAGAGAAAGAAGCCAGTGGGATGGCATGAGGCTGAGATAAAACATGAGTTTGGGCAGCCTATGAAAATTCCCCCACTGGAGGGGAGGATCTTAGGGCTAATAGTGTTTTCTTTGCAGCCACCTGCACTTGCTATTATAGAAGTACAATATTTCCCAAACTTGAATTAAAACCAACTCTACTCATAGAAGTGTAGAGCTGTAGGTATATTAATTAATTATTTTGCTGAAACTAAAGGAAGTCATTGTTAATGGCTCCACTGACAGTGCGTAATTGTCACACGATAACTGACAAGCTGAACTAACCCCATGGAAGTAGACACCTTCAGAGAGGGTAACCACGAGACCAACTCTTAAGCCGGTCCTGCCACTGACACCCACACTCACACTCCAGAAATCCCGCTCCTTCCCCAACTTAAGGACAGTATTTAATAAATATGTGAAGAGTTGATTTGGATTTTCACAGGGTGTGAATGGAAATTTGAGTCAATCTTACCTTGATCTCAAGGGCCAGAAGACCCAATATGGGAGATGTGCAGGTAAGAAACTGTGTCTAGGAGAAATTAAATTTCTATGGCTCTACCGTGATCAAGCGTTAAAGCCAGCTTTCAAAACTAGGTCTGTCTTAACTCCAGGTCCATGCTCTATTTGTCTCACAGCACTTTCTGAAAGGGCCTGGACTTGTGCCCTGAGTCATTGCCTACATTTGTGCAATTCCTTTAGTCTTTAAGTGCATACTTCATCTTTACCCTATTTAAAGTATGTTTGCAGCTGTCTGATCTTCCAGACCGTAGTGAACACAAGGCCAGTCTATTAAGTGCTTATACTAGCCACATTCTCCTACCTTATCTTAGCAACTGGATCTCCTTAATTTATATGTGTTCCACTCCTCATTCTTATAAATTTCCAACCCCATCCTTGATTCCACATTAAGCTCTCCACCCAGATGCCAGTACATTTATCTGCTCAGCTGAAACAGAGCTGTTTGAGCAGATACCCAGAGTTCTAGAAACAGTATGGAAGACTTTACGGCAGATGAGATTTTCCACAACAGACCCTTCAAATGTCAGATGCCAAGCACAGTAGGTGAGGTCTTCTAAAAACCAGATAAGAAGCTCAAACAAGGCCAAAACAGGGCATTTAAAAATATTTTCTTCAGAAAAAAAAAATATTTTAAAGGTACTGGTAGTGGTCCTGTTCATCAAAGGTTATCATTTAAATCAAGGCAAGCAAACATTAAGTATAGTTATTTTACAAAGGACAATTATTTGAGATTTATAGGCTAAAGCAAAAAGACAGTAAGTTTCTAAAGTGCACCAGAGAAGTATTGCTTCAGAAAGATTACATTATAGTGGATAGATACTTCTATATTTAATATAAGTTCTTTGGGTATTAATGGGATCTCTTTGCAAGAGATTAATATCACATCAGAAACCTGCATATCAAGATGGTGTCTAGAAAATCACATAGATGTAGTCTCCTGAAAGAAGGAAATTGGCTGTTTAGGAAACAGCTGGCTTTCTAGACAAGTGATGAAGTGTGAGCCCAGAGGGGAGGAGGAAGACAGTATCTACTGGAAAGATGGCTATGTTCAAAGGAAAAAGAAATGTGCTGCGCTCAATTTTCAAAAACTTTTCCATTATCTTTTCATTTATGCTTCAAGAACGAGGTAGAAAATAGAGGTTGAGGGGGAGAAAAAAATGTTTATGATTAAGCACAAGGTCACACTTTGTTGGTAAACTTGAACCTATGTTCCCACAGGGGCTGAAGGGAAGGTAGCCATCAGTGGGATGGCTTCTCTATTTGGGTTTCTTGCTGCTTCTCTTCTTGTAAACCTTTCAAAGTCCCCTAACTCACTGCTTCTACACGATTTCCTCACCGTACACCCCGCCCCCCTTCCTTTAACCTCCTGCCTCTGGGAGAAGATGGCCCTTAACCCATTTACTCATCCCATCCCTGGAGAGGTGGTGACTTAGCTGGGTGGTCAATATGAGAAGAATAACTCGTTGTCCTCCACTCAGCCTGGTCATTCTTCCTTTTGGGATATGCCCATCTCAAAACAGCAGTGGTTGCCCTCTACCCCCCACCCCCCACCCCTTGCTGATGAGCAGAGAAGGTGCAGGTGGGTGGTCTGGTGCTGCTCAGAGGGAAGTCTCTCCTGGGAACCAGGGGCTGAAGAGGGGGTGGTGGTGAGGGGGGAAACTACTTCCTGCAGGAAACTAACCAGCAAATGTGGCTAACGTGCCTCCTTGTGAACCTCCCACTAGGTTCTCACTCTAAGCTGTTCCTTCAACTAACTATTCTTGATCAGTAAATTGAGGTTTTATTTTGGTTTTCCATCCACCATGCCTCATTTCATTGCTCTCATGGTTCCTAATTCAGGAAGAAAATATCAAAATGCTCCTCTGGAAACCTGTGGGCAGCAGTGTTAGAGACACAGAGAAATCAAAATCAGAATAGAATGTGGGTGGTTAAATACATGTGTGATCTGGAGTGTGGACCCCACGCTTTGATGGCGTGTGGAAGCTTAGATTGAGCCAGGTGAGTGTTCACAGTAGAGCAGGGGCCTGGGTGAGGGGTTTTAGATCAGCCTGTAAGTATTTTGAATCTGGAGGTTCATGGACCTTATGGTGTTTTACTCACGGAATGTGACTTTCTATGGAATCTCAACTGCCCTCGTTGGGCCTTTGAAAAGGCCGAGTGAGCCCGAGGAAAAGGCATGAAAACCTCAGCAGAGGTGCGGGTCACTCCTCACAGACAGTGTCATTCCTTCAGGGACTCAGAAGTTGTGCTGGCCCGATGCCAAGAGTCTAAAGTGACTCAGAGTTAATAAGGAGACACACAAGACTATCACAGCCTTTGGGCCACCTGTTTTGAAAGCCTGTCGATCTCCAGCCATTAGAGCAGATATCCCTGAGCTCTATTCCCAGGACACAGCACCTCGCAAGCCGAAAGGCTGTAGTCCACACCCAGTGATATCTGAGATAGGAAGTGCAGATGGAGAGAATCCTTGTATCCGTTTCCCCCCAATGCTTGTCCATCCATGCCCACTTTCTAGAATCTACCACCTGTGAACTTAAATCCAACTGGCAGGAACATCCCCAAGAAGGACCCCTTTGGTGGACCACAGGCGGACTGAGAAAGCGGGTGCAAGGTGGCATGAAGTAAACGAAGTTGCCGGCAGCAGGCCCTCAGCCCGGCGGGCGGCCTCCAGGCACCGCCCCCGCCATTTCCAGGGGAAAGGACTCTTCACAGAGCTTTCAGGAACACCTGGCAAGGGTAGAACCTGCTGCTTTCCAGCTCTTTCAAGTCAGCTAGATTCCAATGTGCTAGAGTGTAGCCGGGTTCCAGTTCTTCCCCAGTAGTGCCTGGCCAACGCCACGGGTTGCACGGGTGCTATGGGCGCTGCCCCAGATGCCGTTCTCATTGGGGCCCAAGGAGGGAAAGGTGTGGCCAGCCTCGGGCGCTTGTCAACAGCTGGCACTAAGAGCTTAAGTCCATGAAGAAACCATCCCTCAGAGGTAGCTTTCTCGGGCCTAAAAATTCTAAGTCTGCCCATTCCAGAGTTCGCTTTTAGTGAATTCAATGGGCGAAGCAGCTATAAAGCTGTGTCCCACATCCCAGCCTCCATCAGCAGTGTGGACGTCACCTACCACCTTTTTATGTCTCAACTGGTCCAGATCATGCTCTGGATCGCTGGTAGCTCTGAGCAGCTGCTCAAAGCTTGATTATAACGCCTGGTTGGAAGGTGAATGGAACCTGGTTGAGGGGACGCAGTAGGTAAGTCTTTAAAAATTAAGAATATAGTATCCCTTTTAAAAAGCCCTACATGGGGCACCTGAGTGGCTCAGTTGGTTGAGCGTCTGGCTTCAGCTCAGGTCGTGATCTCAGGACTCATGAGTTTGAGCCCCACGTGGGGCTGTGTGCTGACAGCTCAGAGCCTGGAGCCTGCTTCAAATTCTCTGTCTCCCTCTTTCTGTCCCTCCCCTGCTAATGCATTGTCTCGGTCTCTCAAAAACGTAAAAAAAAAAAAAAAACATTTGCAAAAAAAGTCCTACATCTCTTTCTGAAGACTGAGATTAAGTAAAACAACAGCAAAGTTAACATCTGTGCTTCCTTAACCATCTGGGTGCTGGGAATATTTTTCTTCCAGCATGATAATATATGAAAGATTCTCTCATACAAATGGCATCATACTGATTTTGATCAAAAGACTAAAATTAGTAAATTCACATGAGAGGGGAGAAAATGGATATGGAATGTACAACTCCATTCAAATAGAAGCCATTTTAAATGATTTTATTTACCTGTCAATTTATCACCAATATCTAGTATTTTTTTTATTTTTGCTACATTTGGATAAGCGCATTAGAAAGAATGTATATTAAATACTAAGAAAGTTGCCTTTTAATGAAATATAATCATAACAGGATCTGGGTATATAAATTTAGTGGTTTTATTGCATTATTAGAAAATTGTATTATGAAAGATACAAAAAAAATCAATAGATGTTATTATTTCTGTTTATTTCACCATCAGTATGCCACCTTTTACCATTATGGCTTTAAATTTTCAATCTGCCCAATAGAGTTCAAAGAATAGTTTATTACATGCCTAATAAAACACTTAAAATATTTACAGATTCAAAATAGATGTTTCAAAACTGAAAAAAGTTCACCTGAGAATTTATTATAGCATTGCCATTTGTTTTTTTTTTCCCCAAGTTGTTAATGTGGCAAAGTATCCACATGCAACCTGTATCGTCTACTGCATCAAATATATTTAGTTCCTTATTTAAAATTGGTTAAGCATTAAGCTACAGTTAGGTTATAAAATTTACAGATGGAGAACCAAGATTTAATTTATAACCATATTTGTTTTGAACTTAACAATTAGACAACAAATTATTTGCTATAGCTGTAGAATTCAAACAATGAAAACAATTTTAAGGTAATGTTATTTTACGGAGTTAGACATAACAGTTTTTTTTAAAAAAAAAACATCAAGCACTGAGAAGCCCAATTCATAAAATAAGGAACAATGATCGTGTAAATATGCCATATACAAACTGAAAACAACCTTTCCAAAATTCTGCATGAAGGAAAAGATATACACTGTATATACATAATCCTGTCATTTGTCTTCGGCAGCCTCAAAAAAAAAAACAAAAAACAAAAAAAAAAAACCTCAAAACAAACTTTCTTAGAAAAAAACTTCTTTAGAAGTTAATGTTAAAATAGGCATAAATGTGTAATGCTATGCAATATATAGAAAACTTCCCTACCTTATGGCTGAAAAACAAAGATAAAATCTTTTATCTCTCTGTCCCTCTGTACTACAATTTGAAAATCATGTAGGTATGAGGTAGTGTGGTTACTTGTATTACATGCTGGCTATTAAAAGTAATGCTGTATTTTACAAAATATCACACTTGGCCGATAATCAGAATATCGTCAAAATAAACCCTTAATGCTAAACTATTTATATGTAGAGAGAAATCTAAACCAAGTGTCTTAAAAATCATAGTTCAGTTCTGGAGACAACTAGGTTGCATCATAAAATATTAAGTAACCTTTCAAAGCAGTTATTTACAGTAGCCATTAAAGCAAAAGGTTATGTGACATCTGCACATACACAAATTGATATGACAAACAGTTGAGTGGACACTGAGGTAGGAAATCAAGGATTCCATTGGTTTGTATAAGATTTTACATTTTGTAAACCAGAGAAGTTTTTATATTATTTTATATTTTGGAGTTAAAATTTTAAATTACAAGTATCAAAGAGCTAGGTACATGGGGATATTATCTATATATCTATACATATATATAGGTATACACACACAATTCTTCTGTAGTATGGGATGTATTATCATAGAATTATTCTCCCTGACAAGTTCTTAAGTACTCTTATAAAAGCCTCTAGAAAATAAACAAACCCAACTAGTTTTCTCTTACAACTAAGTCAATAGCAGAGATAACCTACAAACCACTGAAAATATACTAGCAGTATCTGCCCGCCCTCCCCGCCCACCCTTTGAAAAGGGTAACATTTGATACATATTAACTCTGGTCCCCATATGCAGTCACGGCAAAGGTCTACTTGCTATAGACTCACTCCTGTGGGACGGATGCTCGACTGCCACGTTAACTACATAGGTCCTTCACAAGACTCGGGATGCAATCGATAAGCTTCTCTCTCAGGTATTCTGATTCGAGATTCTGTATGCAGGCAAGTTTTCTCTTGGTGAAATTAAGTACTTTTCCAATCCAAACATGATAAATTACTCCTGTGTATGTGTACCCTTTGAAACTAGGTTCTGCAAATGTGAATATATGCAATTAAAAAAAAACAAACACAAACATTGAGAAGGTCCATGGTCTGTAAATATACCGGACTCTCAAACAAGCCTGTAACACCAAAATGGCTTAAGAGCCACTGCAAAATGTTGGGGCGTTAGTGCTAAGACTATAAAAGCTTTATTTTAAACCAGGATTGAATGAACACAAAGACCGATTCGATTACAAAATGCCCAAGTCAAAGTGATTTGTGTGCCCTTATATACCAGTTTTGGGGGAGGGGAAAAAGATTAAGTCTGGTTTCCAGATTCAAACCCACAACAGAACGAGACTGAGCTCCATCCTATTTCACAAACCTGCACGGCTGTGTGTAGATATGTTTCATCTACAATAATGCTGTTTACAAGTAAACCACGGGACTTCAAAAACAGGATGGAAGATGAACTGCCACTACTGATAAATGTAAGCAGTTTTCTTTCCCCGTGATGTCTGGGTGCTGACCTGTGGCGGGAAGGCAGACAGCCTTGTATTTGGGGAAGCTCTCCGGTAGTCCAGGGAGGCCCCTCATGCCACTGTGTCCCAAGTCCTACTTCTTCCAGAAGGACGAGAATGGCAGGAACCGGAAAGATCATGATGGACCCAGCTGTGGTGGAGACTGCAGAGAAAAAACAAAGGAGGAATGACACTTCTCTGCTGTTTACGCAGCCAGCATTTCCGAGGTCGACACTGAGGAGCAGCCGAAGCCTCTGCCCGGGGCCACCACGTGCCTCTGTCCCCTGCGTATTCCCAACGTGCTCCGGGGTCGCAGCGCAGGCTCAGCGAGCCCTGGTGGTGGTGGGGGAAGAGCAAGGCTCCAGGATTCGGGCACGACCACGCTTCTCACACTGCAGCTCTACACAAGTCCCCAGACGGCTGACATCCCACTGCAAGGCAGAGCTGAGCTCTAGCAGCATGACATGGGGGGTGGGGGCAGCATTTCCTTTTAAACCAGTGGAGGGCAAAAGGTTGGGTTGTGAAACTTTGCAGGCCACTTCTTTACAGGAACTCTCTGCGGATGCTTCAAGCTGTTAAACCTTTGTTACGCTGCAGTTTTCACTGTCAAATTCATTTCGCATACTGGGAAGAGTTACTACTAATAGTGATTATTCTTTAAAACGTAGTTTTTGAAGCCTTACTCCAGTTTCACAAGTGATTTTTTAGGATCCGGGGGGATGTGTAGTTTCTGCACCTCATGGAAATCAAAGGAAAGTCAGGATTGGCTTCAGAGGAATTCTCTTAATAGCCAAGCTAGCAGGGGCCAATGGCCAATACTGTTAAGAGCCAGAGGCTGTGTTATGCTCGGAAGTCGTCACAACTGCAGCGGAGAACGAGACGGTGTGCAGGAAGTGAATGTGAGGTTACTCATCAGTAGTACATTTGTCTGTCATCTGCTGGCAGAAATCAGAGATGCCACCCCCCTGCCGACCTGGGTCCGCGGGGCCGGCCTGCTCGGGGGCAGCGGCGAGCCGGGGCTCCGGGCCGGGCGCACAGCCCGCCGACCCCCCGCCCTTGGCGCTGGGATGGCGAGGGCCTGGCTCTCCCACCACGGGGGGCCCCTCGGGTAAACTCAAGATGGATGGTAATGCAAGTTCACCATCAGGAGTACTTTTTCCTTTTTCAGAAAGTAAAAACGAAAGGGGGCAGTCTGAAGCTGAGTACTTGGCGAGTATCTGTATCTGTTCTTGACTCAGCGCTGCCTCTTTACAGACTTGCTGGCAAAGTCCGGTGAGGTTCTGCTTCGTCTCACCCAGAGTTGACAGAATGTGATCTCTCTCTTTCAGCAGGCTCTCCTTTTCGTTTTGCTGAGAGGTGGGAAAGAGAATACAAGCACGTGTGTTCAGTGACTCAGTCGACATTTCTAAGGAAACCAAACATTCGTATCTACTGGGGCCTCTCATTAAATAAGATCACCAGGGATTTTTACTTGCCTCTCAATTCAAAAATTTAGTAAATAACCCACAGGCCCATAATCCCTCATCTAAAACTCTGACGGATCTTGGGACGCAGAATTTTTCAGATTTTAGAAAGGCAATACGGATGCACAAGTAATCCCTGCAGCAGGGTCTGGGGCGGTACCCGACTATCAAACACCTTTACGTTTCTAAATAAAAGACATTAAAATATCAAATGATGCACAGAGTAGGAGAAAGACAGACTTGACAATAGCCTGATGATGTCAGTCTGTGTCCGTTTTTTTTTTTTTTTTTTTTCAGCAAAACAGCGCATGACAAACTTGCCATGTTTTCAGAGCTTTTTGGATTTACATTTGTAAACGAATGTGGGGCGGACATTTGAGACGGAAGAGCACCAAAGAAAAGTACGAGTACACTGGTCAGAACTACTGCAGCTCAAATCACTGCAGGATTCTAACTATGCCTAATATTTGTTGTGTATTTACTTTGTCCCAGATATTGTGCTAGATGTTTTCAAATATGCAGTCTAGACTATGCCATTCACACCAGGACTCTGTGGATTTAAGTAATAGTAATAAATCTATTTTATAGGTGGGACTGAGAGACTAACATGCTCAGAGTCAGAAAGCTACTAGTGAGTGAGGTACTAAGGTGTGAAGAACCTGGGGATGAATTTTGTGTTTCTTAATTATTATTTTATTCCTCTTATTATTACCATTTAAATTTTTCATCCCAACAGGAAAGCCTGCCGCAGAATGTTTCCAAACTTTTCCTGGTCCCTGCATGTCTGTCTACTGTCACTCGTTACTCTGCCTTTTTCCATCAATGTCCCACCTTATCCTTTCTATTCTACCGCTGCGTTGCTGCTTACCTACTATGAGCTGGGAAACCAAATAATCAAGCTATTTATAAATAAAGAGTCAATAAATGTTGGTAGAAGGTCACAGGTTTCTCCTGTGAAATTTATCACCACACTCTTGGCCTTCTGCCCACTGGCGGGCCCTGGAGAGCTCACATTTAGTCAGGTTGTCTCAGTGATAATCCACAATGATCATCTCTTAAATAGATTCCTTTCTGGAACAAAAATAGCTAAAAGGGTAAAAAGAAATTGGCTTTATACAAAAGTGCTGCTACTGTTTTACATAAAAGTTTTCAAAAAAAAATTATATGTGAATCCAATTACTGGGAGTTTCTGTTTAAGTATGTCAAGGCCATCTAATATTTTGAGACAATGTGCATGGACTATAAAGTCCTACAGTAAATTTTATCTTGTTGAGTATTCTACAGTTTGTTCAGATCTTCATACAACTGTTCTGTTTTGAAAATACAGGTATAGTCAAGAATATACCTATTTTTATATACAAATGAATAAGTAAAACCAAGACCACTGTTCTCGGTAACAGAAGAGAAATATATTTTTGGTAGCAGAAAGTTTGTCAGTTGTAGGCTTCTGATAAAATGAGTCTGTAGGTGGCTAGAGGCCAAGAACTGCGTCTACTACTACCTATCCAAGAAGGAACACATTTACTGAAATCAGCACCCACTTCTTTTTATGACCTCTTAGAAGCCAGTCCAAATGAGGATGGAAACAAAGCTTCCAGCAGAAAATAATAAGTATTCCCTCAGTGACAACAATACTCAGCCATAGACTCCTCTATCAAAGTTGGGATCAGTCTCTGTTCTAAAGAGCGACCGATGAAATTTTAACTGGTGACTGGTCTTTTAAATTAAACATGGTTAAAGCAAATTAATGAAAATTTGGACTTTCTTCCAGAAATGAGAACTGCTCCTTAATCTACAGATACTACAAAGATGACAAACATTTTATAACTTCTATCTCTTTAAACATCGATATGATCTTAAACATTCTCCCAACTTCTACCCCACTAAATAAAGCGTGACATGACTATACTCTTCAAGTACGTCCCATACTACATGGCTTGCTTCTTTCTTTACAACAACTAAAACCAACAGGTACAACCTGGAACTCTACCATGATTAGTTCTATAAATTAAGTCCCCAGCTGTGTCTCTGCACTTTAACTCCTACACAGGTAAGTTTCTAGGCAGTTAGCTGATATTTCCAGGTCACTCTAATTTTAAAACACAAATTTACTTCAATAGTATTTAGTTTAATAACTGATTATTAAGAGGTGCCTGGGTGGCTCAGTTGCATCCAACTCTTGGTTTCAGCTCAAGTCATGATCTCATGGTTTGTGAGTTCAGGCCCTATTGTTGATTTCTGCACTGAGAGCATGGAGCCTGCTTGGGATTCTCTCTCCATCACTCTCTGCCCCTCCCCACTCTCTCTCTCTCTCTCTCTAAATAAATAAACAAATATTTTAAAAAATAACTGATCATTAAATAAGAGTAACTCAACTTAGTCACTTTATGATATCTTATTAAAGATACCTCCAAAACACACCTCACTACCAGCATCCAGCTACCTATTTCTACAATATATTTTAATTTTCTTATAATGCAATTGTACAAAGCACAAGTTTGAGGTACTGTGGCTTTAACCACAGATCTACAAGAAAAATAAAATTGGTGTTCTGGTACCGTGCTGCTTTTTATGACAACAAATTTACATCCAAATCCACATTTTCAACAGCTAGTGTACAAATTTCACTCAAATATAAGAAATTAAAAAATATTTTAAATAGAACTCATCCAATAAAGGTAAAGAGTGAAAGAAACTTGGCCCCAAAAGGGCTAGCTGACAGTGACAATGTCTGAGGTTAAAGAGTACTCACTACTAACAAATGGTGATCAGTGGTTCCTTAGGATGTAAAACCTCTGAACACACAGTTCAGAGAACTATGCAAGTGGCCCTTACAGATAGGAGTACAAATGCTCAATTTCACTCATAAGAGAAACAAAAGTAAAAGCCAGCCTGATACCAGTTCTCCCTATCAGCCTGGAAAGAACCCAAAGCAGACAACAAACTTGGTGCTGGGGCTGGGGGCAGGCAAACTGCTACAACCCCAGCAGAGCAGAACCCAATCATATCTAACAAAGTAACATCCGTATCTGCCCCCAACCCGACAACCCCTCTTCCAGGGGCCTCTCCTGAAGACACACCCCCTCCAGCATGAAAAAACAACGTGCACAGTCACCCACTGCGGCGTCCCACATGTCCATCAGTATGACCCCAGAGTGACACCGCGCCACCGGCACAGCTGAATATACAGATCTGTAAAAGGAATGACAGCCTCTTGGAACTCAGAGAAATATTTCCTGGAAATCACTTCTTAAGTGAAAAGAGTGAAAATACGGAAAAGTACATAAGGAATTTGTTCATGTAGCAGAAAGGGTCAGAAAAAGAAACATAAAATACTATCTGCTTTTAAAAAAGAAACACAAGAAAAAAAATTAGAGACTAATAAAAAAGAGTTACCCATAGGAAATAGTTATGGATAGGGTACGGGGAGCAGATGGGATCAAGGCATTTGGAGTACAGCTTTTTCTAAGCACAGTTTTAACTTTTGAGCTGTATCAATGTTTTATATATTCAAACACCACAGGAAGAAGGTGAAGAGTAAATCACAGTAATAAATACAAACAGAAACATTAATTACACTGTACATCAAATTGCTAGCATAGAGAAAAGTATCACTTCAAATAACTTTTAAAATTTAAATTTCAATACTATGGAATATATTTAAATTTTTTTTAATGTTTTATTTATTTCTGAGAGAGAGAGAGAGACAGCGTGAGCAGGGGAGGGTTAGAGGGAGAGGGAGATTCAGAATCCGAAGCAGGCTCCAGGCTCTGAGCTAGCTGTCAGCACACAGACCGACGCAGGGCTCGAAACCACGAACCATGAGATCATGACCTGAGCTGAGGTCAGATGCTTAACCGACTGAGCCACTCAGGCGCCCTGGAATATTTTTATTTTTTAATTTTTTTAATGTTTATTTACTTTTTGAGAGACAGAGAGAAACAGAGCATGGGGGTGTGGAGGGGCAGAGTGAGAGAGGGAGACAGAGAATCTGAAGCAGGCTCCAGGGCTCTGCACTATCAGCACAGAACCCTATGCGGAGCTTGAACCCACAAACCATGAGATCATGACCTGAGCTGAAGTTGGATGCGTAACCAACTGAGCCACCCAGGTGCCCCACTATGGAATATATTTAAGGACAAAAAAAGGCAAAGAAATCTTTAATTTTATTTAATCTGCTTCTTGTTAATAGTAATATTGACTTTGTAATTTTGTAACTAATATATATATGATTACATGTTCTTAACATAATCATTATTATAACTATAATATTTATATTTACTATTTGCTTTATATTAGCATATATAATTATATTTACTATTATTTTAATAACATATTTACTGTTTGCTTTATACTTACATACATGTAATCATTACATTATAAAAATTTATATTTACATAAAGCAAACAGTAAACATATTACTATAACTAAAAGCCAAGATTTTTCCCTGTAATGGAAAGTGATAAAATACAAACATAGAAGCAAAGACAAGAGCTATACTGCTAAAGGTTGATTGAAAACACCTACATGATTCGTGATTTCTATTATACTTTTTTACTTTTATTTACCTAAGTACATGCATATACTGAAAGCACTCGTAAAGGTTACACAAACACACACACACATTTCCCAGCTCTGTTCCCTCAAAGAACCCAGAAGGAGGAACACCAGCAGCAAGTAGGCTAAACGAAACCAGGCAATTTTGGAGAAAGATGATCCCAAATCTTGGAACATGCAAAGTACAGCGTGAGCCTGTGACAGATTATTCTAGGCAGCACAGAAGCACTAATGGGGTCATGTCAAAAGGACACAGCAGCTAGCCTGAGGGGGCTCTCTCGGGCCAACTCTGAAAAAATACCAACATCAAAAAGACTAATGACTGTTAC